TATTTCTTCATAGGCTCTTGAGGGGAATACCTAATGACCATCAGAAAGTGTCTTCTCCTCTTCTTTACTAATATATAGGGTGACTTATGAGATTTGGCGAAAATATCTTTTGGTCATAACTTTTCAACAGCTCCTTCGATTCGTCTGATTTTTTTATGGAATATTCCTCTACTAAACCCTAATCGACTGATTCATTCAGAATCGGAAAAATCCAGGACCGCTTTTGAAAAATTTCGATAGTTCAGTTTTCATCAGAAAGTTCATCCTGTATATGGTTTTTGTAAACTGTGACAGGAAATTTTCAAAGCACACAAACAAGCATCAAAATAAAATGAAAAAACAAGTAAATGGGCTATACAGATACCAGACCATTTTAACCACTTTTCCCATGTAAATCTCCATAAGAAATTTTAAGGTTCATTCTGCAATTTTTCACTCATTCAAGGTCATCCGGCTCCGACGCTAGTCGGAAGCTGCTGATAAGAACAGCGCGATAATACAACTACAATAACAAGATGGAATATACAGGGAGTATCGCTGAATGAAAATATACAGGGTGTCTCATGAATAATGTATCACATTTATTGTAGATTACAGCCAACAGATGGCAGATATCATATGATAGATGACATGTGACCTTCCGGTGCCCATTGAAACTAAACGCTCAGGTTCAACTTACGTTTGCCGTATGATGGATACCACGTGACCTTCCGGTAGTTCTCGAAAGCAGGCACACAGGTCGTCAAAATAGCTACCTGTTCAAAATAGCGCTAAAATGATACGTATTGTTGAAGCCTCCCAAGGTATTTATTATGAGGTTCAACAAGTTTTTACCATAAAAAATGAAATTAAATCTTTATTTTTAACTATTTCATGGCATCATATATCAAAAGATAAATCTTGATGCAAGTGTCCTTAACATTCTCCAACCTCCAACCGACATAACTGGTGCACAGGCCGAATTAGCGTGGTATTCTTCGTCTTCAGTTTCACTGTTCTTACTTGATCATCACGACCTGGGTATACTTCTAGAATTCTTGCCATATTCCATTTGTTTCGGGAGTTGCTATCTGCTACAGCTACAATGTCGCCGACTTTAATATTCTCGTTGACAGTGTGCCATTTCGATCGTTTTTGGAGTGTCAGTAGGTATTCCTTCGTCCACCTTTGCCAGAATCTATCCGCTAAACATTGCGAAATCCTCCATTGTTTTCTGCCATAAAAATCTCCAGCCTTGAAAACTCCTGGGGAATTTTGTGAATTAGATGTTCCAATGAGGAAATGTGAGGGTGTTAATGCCTCTATTTCGTCAGTTGCGTCACTAGAAATATAGCTGATCGGTCTTGAATTCACAATACTTTCGGTCTCAATCAATAGTGTACACAATAATTCGTGGGAAGGGTGTTGTTCTTTCAATATTATATAAAGCACCTTTTTCACGGACAGTCGTTCCCAGACACCTCCTGTATGTGGTGCTGCTGGTGAATTAAAGATCCATTTTATATTCAATTTAGATAGTTTTCCGATTATTTTGTTCTGATCTAACTCATCTAAACTTTTCTTCATATCTCTTTCCGCTCCAACAAAATTTGTGCCGTTGTCCGAATGCATTTCTAAAGGGTTTCCTCTTCCAAGCGATAAAAAAAAAAAACAGGTAAAGAGCACCCCGTATCTTTTTTCAACCGATCTTCTGACTTTTACTAAGAGTGGTCCAAAGTAGTCGATTCCAGTATAACTGAATGGTCTTGTGAAGCTTTTGAGTCTAAATGCAGGGAGAGGAGCCATCTCAGGTGGTTTTGGTTTACTTCTTTTTATTTTGCAATATTGACAGTTTCTGATCGCTTTTTTCACTGTTTGTCTTAGAGCAATTATCAAAAATTTTGTTCTCATATTATTAATAACCGTTGATAGGAGAGTTTTTGACATATTTCGCGAGCACTTTTCTGCGTGAAGCACAGATCTTTTTTTCGTGTTTTGTTTAAGAGTTGTTCGACATATTTTTCTAATATATGTTTGCTAGGCATGCCTATAGTAGACAGTTTTTGCAGCGAGTTTCTCTGTATATTTTCTCATTATCGCCCTGTATATTGATCAGAATCAACAGTCAGCTCATCGTCTGTCATACATTGCCTGTCTAATATGTTTGAATGATGTGTCTCTTTTTTTATGGGATTAGTAGTACTGAAATAAGTATATGTAGTATACATCGTGTGTACTGAATATAAGCGTTCGCTTTCGGTGGAGCAATGAATCATAGGCCAAAAGTTTTGCGTGATATCTGTTGAGCGCTATTATGAATCGATCGCCATTTTGTTTCAATAGCCATTTTGATTAAAATTTGTAGGTTATGTCGAATCTGAATCGGGTGGTTACGTGTCATACGTCGTCTGTCAAACATCATACGTATCGTCTGTTAAGTGTCATTTTGAATCGATAGTCATGTTGGTTAATATTCGTTGGTTAGGTCGACCCTGAGTGTCTGCTTTTGACGAGCGCGTCATGTGGTATGTTATCTGTCAAATATCATAGGTATCATCATTTTAGCGCCATTTTGAACTGGTAGCCATTTTGACGACCTGTGCTTTGAACTACCGGAAGGTCACGTGGTATCCGTCATACGGCAAACGTAAGTTGAACCTGAGCGTTCAGTTTCAATGAGCACCAGAAGGACACATGTCATCTATCATATGTTTTCTGCCATCTGTCATACGTTGGCTGTAATCTACTATAAATGTGATATATTATTCATGAGACACCCTGTATATTTTCATTCAGTGATACTCCCTGTATATTCAATCTTGTTATTATAGTTGTTCTTATCAGCAGCTTTCGGCTAGCATCGGAGCCGGATGACCTTGAAAGAGTAAAAAATTGCAGAATGAACCTTAAAATTTCTTATGGAGATTTACATGGGAAAAGTGGTCGAAATGGTCTGGTGTCAGTATAGACCATTTACTAAAACACTTTCACAGAATTCTTCAAAAAACGATAAATTATAGCGAAAACGAAAGTTTGACAACAAATTTTATTCATTCAAAAATAATTACTCCACAACGCATCATTGTTTATGCTATAAGCGATCCTCCTTGTATATTCAATCTTGTTATTGTAGTTGTTCTTATCAGCAGCTTCCGGCTAGCGTCGGAGCCAGATGACCTTGAAAGAGTAAAAAATTGCAGAATGAACCTTAAAATTTCTTATGGAGATTTACATGGGAAAAGTGGTCGAAATGATCTGGTGTCTGTATAGCCCATTTACTAAAACACTTTCACAGAATTCTTCAAAAAACGATGAATTATAGCGAAAACGAAAGTTTGACCACAAATTTTATTCATTCAAAAATAATTACTCCACAACGCATCATTGTTTATGCTATAACTTACGGAATCTTCATTTGAATCGAAAATATGGATTTCATCGAAGATTTTCTGTTAACGGGTTCGACTTTCCAAGTTTCTGAAACGATTTCAATCTCTGTTTTCACACAAGGAATTTATTTTCTATGTTGATCATTTCGACAAATGTCACTAATGTCAGTAGCAAGGCTACTGGGTGATTCTTAGTAGTTTCTGGATGAATGATGAATTCGCGAACCAAGGTTCCTTCATTGCAGGAGAAATGAGAAATATAGTCGATGGAAAATTTTTGTAACCAACTCGTATATTAAAAGGTGATTAATGATCTCGATCATTAATCGCCCTCATTAATACAGTAGTTGGTTGAATAACTATTTCCGTCGACCTCGTATTAACGCCTAAGTTTAATGAAATCGTTCATTAATAATATTAATAATCAATTTTTCTATTGATGCACGATTGTTTTATAGGCAACCAAACATACACCGCGTGCATTCATTGTTTATGCTATAACTCACGGAATCTGCATTTAAATCGAAAATATGAATTGGATCAAAGATTTTCCGTTAACGGGTTTGCCTTTCCAAGTTTCTGAAACGATTTTAATTCCTGTTTTCTAACACAAGGAATTTATTTTCTATGTTGATCATTTCGACAAATGTCAAATGTCACTAATGTTAGTAACAAGGCAACTGGGTGATTCTTAGTAGTTTCCGGATGAATGATGAATTCGCGAACCAAGTTTCCTTCATTGCAGGAGAAATGAGAAATATAGTCGACAGAAATTTTCTTTAACCAACTCGTATATTAAATGGCGATTAATGATCTCGAACATTAACACGCTCGCTTCGCTCGCACGTTTAAATATCACGATCATTAATCGCCCTCTTCTTCTTCTTCTTCTTCTACTTCTTCTTCTTCTTCTTCTCTGCACAGGTGGGCGGGTGCGTAGACCCCTGCACTCAGGCCTCTTCAGTCGGGCCCATTGTGCGCCCACTTGTCCTGTGAATCAGCTGGGCATGCCGATTTCTTTGACGAAATTCAGCAGTTTCCTCAGCTGAGTCGCTTTCACATCCTTTGGGTGCAGTACAATGCTCCCAAAGGCAGCTTTCCTCTGATTCACCAGCGCGGGGCATTCAGTGAGTATGTGTGATGATGTTTCATCATCCTCCAAGAACCATCTGCAGATGGGATCATCTTTGATCCCTATGAGTTCTAGGTGCCTGTTGAGGTGGTTGTGCCCAGTTAAGAGCCCAAGTACCATCTTGGGATCCCTTCTATTAAGTGACAGGATCTCTCTCGTGAGTCTTTTTGAAGGTTCCTTTATACGGAGCTTTGATTGTCTCATTCCTGGTGTGTCCCGCCATGTTTCAAGGAACTGCCCCTGTAGCATTTCCTTCATGAAGGACATAGCCGTACTATTGGGTATTCCCAATATCGGTTCTGGTCCAATGGGTGTCGTTCCTGAACCGATCTTGGCTAGTCTGTCTGCCCCCTCGTTCCCCGGGATACCAGAGTGTCCCACATGAGGCTGACTCTCCTAGTTTTTGCTATATTTTCTAAGGCACTTCTACACTCGGACACCAATTCAATCGCCCTCATCAATACACTAGTTGGTTGAATAACTATTATCACATTCCACAGGTAGGCTCAAAGAACTTCTGGTGACAGCGGGCGGGGAAAACGTGCCGCCCGTCCTCATCGAGCAGCAGGTCAAACTGGAGCTGCCCCACATCAGCAACGCTTTCCTCATCGGCGACAAGCGGAAGTTCCTCTCCGTCCTACTCACGCTCAAGACCGAGATGGACGCCGAGACGGGGGCGCCCAAGGACGAGCTGTTGCCCTCCGTCCGGCAGTGGCTCAAATCTCTGGGGTTAGTTCAACTATGAAAAAACAAATAAATAGTTGAAAGAATTGAAAAACACGCTTTTAAAGCCAAACTGAAAAAAAAAACAGAAAAATAGTTAGGTATTTATACACCAAGGTAGTAAAGAATATCATTATTACCCAGGAACCAAGATTATATCCCGAGGCTTCAGCCGTGGTAATGATATTCTTTCCTACCAAGGTGTATATTAAATGTTTTTCACAACATGCAATATAATTCAATCATTATCGTTCTGTGAAACTGAAATATGGACCTATTGTCACTATGAAAGCACTTCCCTTCAATTCTAATTAGAATAATAGCCATGACTATGACAGACCATGCCAGGTCGTCATTGATGAATACGTACTAGATTCGAGTCCCATTTCTGCGAATATCGTATTAGAGCAGTGAATTCGAGTTAATTATAACAGAGGTGGCTATGCCATAAATTACGAAAATTAACTTGGTAGTAAAAACACACTACGCCTCGAAAAGAAGTGGATAATGGTAGGTTCTACAGCTAGTGGTGGAAAAAATAATAAAAGTTCTATGTTGTGTATTTATCAACAGGCTTTTATTATTTTATTTTCTATTCTTCTTTAGTTTTTCTATTTTTATTAGTTATTTATTATACAAGAAAAAAAAGTAGTACATTTTAGCTCAAGGTTGTTGAGGGAGACAAAAAACCGTGAGCTAAAATCTGAGATTTTTTCCCTTTATAATACACTTTTTTTTTCTGTGAGAGGAAGAAGTAAGAATCAATATTGAGGAGATATCACATTATATTGAAATAAGAAAATTTTCGACGTGAAATTTTAAGTTTTCAACAGGAATTACACCTGCGTTGCTGGCATCTTTATCATTTTTTCTTGAAGCAATCAAATATCTGTCAGTCTAATTTTGTGATTCGATTTCAAAAAATTGTGAACCCATAGTGGTTGTTTAGTAATTTGAGTAACTGCGAAGTGGAATGGAAGATAAAAATACCTACTTGCAGTTCTTTCTGGGAGACGGTGTTATTGGCTTAGTTTTCGGAACTAGCACAAGAAAGGCCATAAACTTTATTACGGGAAAAAAGTACTAGCTTTTTCTGGTATTCATGAAAAGTGACATTTTGTAACCTATCAACAGAGATGAAGTGTCAAACTGTATTCCCGTCACAAAATTTTTTTTTCTGTGACGGGAAAAAAGTTTGGCATTTCATCTTTGTTGACAGGTTATAAAATGTCACTTTTCATAAATTACTTTTTTCCCGTGGGAAAAAAGTGAGTACTTTATTGTCTCGCCTGCTTGCTAGCCTGGGACAAGCCTTGGTAATCAATTCACTGGCTCGTCTATAATAGACAGTTTTTTGTCCTTGGTACATGTATAATAACCATTTCGATACTTCTTGATTGCTTTCATCACCTGTATCTCCGAAACTATTCATTGTAGAATAATATAGGAAATTTTATTTTTTTATTTATTCCTTATATTCATTGAACAAATATCTTCCAGACAGAATAGGCTCTGGTATAATGGAGTACATAATTATTATACATAATTATATACATATTATCATATAACAGGGTGTTGCGAAATTCGACCGACAACGCTTGACAAGTGATAGCCTTCGTGATATCATAATCACTCTAAAAATTGGCAAACAAAAAATAATATTTGTAGAAAAAACATAGTAAAATAACATGATCATAATTTTGTCCAGTTCGTTCAGAATTAATCAGTTTTTTTACTTTATTTTTGAATGTACCTATATTTCTGCAGTTTTTGATATTGGCAGGTAGTTTATTGAACTCAGGTAAGGCTGAATGAGTGAATCTTTTTTGTCAGAGTATGGAGGTAGCGGCGTCAAGATGAAACAACCTATATTGTCTATTTTCATGATTATGAATTTCAGAATCCCGTATCAAAATAATATTCGATTTCAATTTTTTATTCATGGTATATAAAATTTTAAGAGTTCCAATTTTATGTATTTCATCTAAAGAATAAGTATTTGTTATTTCATACAATTGATTGGTTGGTGTATCAAATGGGAGACGATACAGTACTTTCAACGATTTTCTATGTAATGTTGATATTATCGACATTATTTTTTGAACAAGAACCTTAAACATTCATAAAATAGTTGATACGACTCAGTATATGAGAGTAGAGAATCATGTTTACAATTTCAATATCAAGTTTGGGACATCTTCTCAATGTACCAATAATTGGAGATATTTTCTTCAAAACATCAATAATAATAATAATAATAATAATAATAGGGGCTTTATTTTTAATATCCTCGGCGAAGTCCAGCAAAGCTGTTCTACTTAACCGAGTACCATATTACATTAGATTTAAATAACAACCTACATAGTAGCTTGAATATAAAACTAACTTATCTACTAAATATAAGTATAACATTATTATCTATTCTAAAATACGGTCTATTAGCGAAAGAAAAATAATTTTGTTGAATTTTTGAAGTGAAACATTGATTTATTCTTGAGCTCTTGTGGGAGAGAATTGTATATTTTAACTGCATTATAGGAGAAGCATCTCCCATATAAAGCTGTTCTATGCATAGGCATCACGAGAAGACCTGTATTTCGAGTGGAACGATTATGAATTTCCGAAGTGAATGTTAATCGATGATGAATGTAAATAGGATTTTTTTCTTTTAATACTTTGTGAACCATGCAGGCAATATGCAATTTACGCCTATTGAACATATTGAGCCATCCCAATTCTCTAAGTTTATGAGAAATGTGGTCTCTGGTTCTTAGTGAGTAAATGAATCTGATACAGGAATTCTGAATCCTTTGAATTCTCGCTGATGAAACTGCATCCAAGCATGGACCATATACTAAATCAGCATAGTTAGTATGACTCAATACTAGTGATTCACATAGTTGCTTTCTCAAGGGTACATTGATGAAAGACCTACTGCGATATAGATTCTTCAATGAAGAGTAACACTTACTAACAATAGATTTAACCTGTGCCTTGAATCTCAGCTTACAATCAATAAGAATTCCTAGACTTTTCACTACATCACAGGGCTCTATTCTAACAGTAGCAATTTCAATTTTCAAATCAGATTTCACCTCTACTGATACATTACCAAAACATATAGCTTGGGTCTTCTTTGGGTTAATCTTCAGCCCATGCTTATTAGAGTATGCAACTATGTTCTCCAAAGTTTGATTTATATCTAAACATGCAGTATTCAACTCATCAGCAAGGAAACTTTTATAAACTTGGGTGTCGTCAGCAAACTGATCAATTGTACAATTTACAGAATTCCTATTGAGGTCCATAGTATATATTAAAAATAGAAGAGGTCCGAGTATTGAGCCCTGCGGTACACCTTTATCAACTAATCTGTTTGTCCCACTTCAACCTGTCATCAAACCAAATACCAAGATATTTCATCTGGTCAGTTTGTTTTAAGAGTTCATTTTTCATTTTAAGGTTTTGTTGAAAAATCATATATTCTGTTTTATTAGTATTTATCCATAAAAGCTTAGAGTGAAGCCATTTTTCAAATATTTTTGAGTCTTTATTTATCATATTTTCTAAATTCGAAGGATTCTTGCTTTCATATAGAAGTACTGTATCATCTGCATATATGGTATATTCACTCGTTAGACCAATTTCAATGATATTTTGAACATGAAGTAAATATAGTATAGGTCCTGAAACAGAGCCGTGTGGAACACCCTTATTAATCAATAGTTTATTTGACACATAGTTTTTGCTGTTGTTCATATTGTAATGATATTCCCCTTGGAGGGGCTTTAGAAACATCAGCTGGACGGCAGGAGAACAACGATCATCCTGTATCACGCATCCCAGATTGCTCTCCTACCTCCCAATGATTCCTACATGCACTAGCATATTTCCGAACACTCAATATATGCCGCGGTGACAGATAACGTCACAGAAGATTCTGGAATGTTCTGGAAACAATCGATGGAACAATTAGAGAGAGAGGTTTGTTCTAAGAAGCTTCTAGAACAAAAAGAAGGAGACGGAAGATCATTCGAGAAGGTTCTCGAACCAAAGCCTGCCAAGTGATATCATATATAAACGGCCGAATAACTGCCGTCAGTTAGTCGAGCAGCGAGTGTCAGAGAGACAGTTATATACCGCGTGATATAAATCGTTTTACATAAATAGTAGTTATAAGTTCGATATAAATAAGTGTTTCTTTAGTTTAAATAAATCAGTTGGAAAATAAATAGTGTAGTGTTCGCTTCTGCACCCGAATAACGTAACAATATTTTGAATAACTACACAAAAATAACGTGGATAAATTACCTTCAAACTCTCCCCTTCTCCCAGCTCATCCCTCACGGGTCAGGACTTTTAGTATGTTTTTCATGGCACATTCCCCTCCTACAACTCTACAAAAATTTGCGACTACACGATTTATATTTTTTGTTCCTTTATTGAACTAGATGTCCCGCCGACACTGTCAAAGAGGTTATCGAGGCCGGTCCTGATAAGAGGCTCATTGATGCTCTCAACGAAGGGGTAGAAAGGGCCAACACGCGAGCGATTTCGAATGCTCAGAAGATCAGGAAGGTCGCGGTGCTTCCTGTCGATTTTTCGATTCCGACTGGGGAATTAGGTGAGTGCAATTGGAAATTTTCTTTTTTGTTTTCATCTTGATCAGTACTTTTTCTTCAATATAAAAAAATGAAAAGAAGACTAATTGACCAATCAAAAAACACTACTACCAATGCCGATTTTTATTCTAACGCTCGAAAGATCAAGTTGATTTGGGATTGAAATTTCTTGAAGAAAAAAATTAATTTTCCATGTTGATGATTTCAACAATTGTCAAATGTCATTAATGCCAGTGACAAGTTGATTTCCAGGGCTATTGGCAATCACCCAATGGCCCTGGAAAAGCTGATTTCATCAATGTATCATACTAGTGTGGCCAGGGAGAATCTAAAAATGCAAGAAAATACAGGGTGTTCCATTTGAAATAACGAAGTTGCTAATTGTTTCTGATAGAAGTGGCAACACTGTATGGATGAAAATATTTTAGACGGATAGAGAATATTCAATTATCAATGCATCTCAATTTTCAGAATGTTCTGTCTTTTCGTTCTCCAAATACTTCTAATATGCCATCCACCGTGGATCGCCCTGTATATCTCCTGCAATGACGAAAACTTGTTGGTTTGCGAATTCATCATTCATTCGGAAACTACTAACAATCACCCAATAGCCCTGGAAGTCAACTTGTCACTGGCATTAGTGACATTTGACAATTATTGTTGAAATCATCAACATGGAAGATTAATTTTTTTTATTAGGAAACGGATTAAAATCTGTTCAGAAACTTAAATAGGCTTACCTGTTAACGTAAAATCTTGAAGTAATCGTTATTCTCGATACAAATGCAGATTCCGTAAATTATAGTGCCAACAGTGGTAGGACGCGGTGTATATTTGATTGCCTATACTACAATCAAAAACATCGATTATTAATAGGGGTCATTAACGATAAATTTCATTAACATTAAACATACTTGTTAATACGAGGTCGACGGAAATAGTATATTATGTAAGAAGTGTTATAAACGGCCTTTTAGTAACGAGTATTTTAAGCACCAGCGGAGCAGAGCGGAGCGAGTGATTAATAAACGAGTGTCTAGAAGAGTTTATAAACGCATTACATACTATGCTTCTTCTACGAACTCCGAAAATTACATACCTGCTATTCCTGCTAACCTACAAAATGATTCGAAAGGAATGTGAATTGAGAACATAATACATGCAACTGCATGCAACCAGCGAGACACATATAAGTGATATTGGTTGTTGATGTGTCCAGTCCATAGCTTACTAACCTTTGTTTCACTTTATTGTCATGCTTATCGCAGATTAAATAGTTTGTCCTCAAAGATGGATGCTTCACTTTTACACTTCTTGGAGATATGCAATAAGTACCAGAACATTCTCTTCGATTTCACTTTCGTCTACTTTCCGCATATATTTTCAATGAAGAATTCTGATACAAACGAACATTGTTTGAATAATTCTGATACAAAATTTGAGAATAACAGTTGACAGTTAATTCAATTGACAGACCAGATATGTCTCAAATTACTGAAAGCTGTGTTTAATGAACTGTGTTGCCATGGTAATGTGTTTAAGGAATCGTGTTGCCATGGTAACGTGTTTAATATTTTGAATAAATCACAGATCGACAATCCGTGATTAATCGATCATGTGACGTGGTACATATCCGTACGCTTAATTACACTTTAGTTATGTGAGTAGAAAAAATATATTTAATGGAAAAATTTTACTCACTGAAAAAAGTGAAATCTGTAATGAATAAAGGCATTTAACATGCAGATGTCCAATGATGAACTTCAGTTCTCGTCAGGAGGACCAGAAAGGATGGAATTGAATTTTTATCGATCATCCATTCATTCGTTGATTGATGGAAGGAATTGTTTGACATGGCTTGTCATGGAGGTTTATGTTTGATGTGTCGATATCATCAAAATCTCATCCATCCGGATCGTCCTGGCGAGAGCAGAGGCTAAAATGATGTTTGGTTGACCAGAAATCATGAGAACAGTTTCTACACCTTTTCCAGTTGTATTGCAGAAAGCGTCAATTGAATTTCAGAATAGTCACTTGTATTTCAGGATGCAATAATCGTACCTGTTTCAAAATAGTCAATTGAACTTCAGAAAGCGTTAATTGAATTTCAGAAACTATCATTCGAGATACAATGGACGCTTTCTGAAATTCAATTGACTATTCTGAGATTCAATAGATAGTTCCTGCTGAAATTCAATTGATTATTCTGAAATGAAATTGACGCTTTCTGAAATTGAATTCACTATTCTAGAATATAATTGACGCCATCTGAAATTCAATTGACTATTCTAAAATACAATAATTGATACTTTCTGAAATACAAATGACTATTCTGAATGACAATTGGCGCCTTCTAAAATACACCTGGAAAAGGTATAGATCTGAAGGAGTAATGACAGTATTTGCCTTGTACATATATGAATGTTTGATATTTTATTTCAAAAATAATACATAGGTTAACTTTAACAGAAAAATTTCCGCAATACCTTACCTAACTGGATGAAGGCTTTAAAATGTGAAAAAATATTCAAGTCTGAAATCAAAACGAAGCTGATTCAGTTTTGTATATGATTTCTACCTTTTTGTTGACGTAATTCCCTTCATCTGATTTGATTGAACCACTTATTTCTTTATCTCTTACATGTCATAAATATTATTTTTATTATTATTATAAGGGATCTGTGTGTTAGAGATACCTTTCTGCATTAAAGATATAATTGTTATTTTTCGGCGAGTAAAATGTTTCCAATAAACCTAATTCTATGAATTATGATAAATAGATAGTATTTTTCAATTAATGTTATAGAGACAATATTTTCTCAGGAATAGATATATCATTTTTCGATACAGAACAGATATAATTCAATAATTTGTGGTTTTAGACAGGAAAGTAGTTGTTTTCTCTTAGTTATTTCAAAAATGATTTTCATATATATAGAAAAAAAAACTAGTACCAACCGAAAGGTTTGGACGATGGGAAACAGTGGATCTTATATAAAAGATTAACAATCATGTGCACAATATCGCACAATCCTCGCCACAATCAGATATTATAATATAAACAATTCACTGTGTTTATTATAATATGGGCACATCAAAATTATAATTTCTGTTCGTAATTTTCTTGTTCATATAAATTAAGAGTCGAAGCGATTCTTGAGGAAAGAAGGCTATATGTAACTGCAACCCTTAAGAATGTCATTCAACAACATCCAATGATATCTTGAATTATTTCATGGCAATGGGTACAATTTTAAATTAGTGTAGGTAGCTAATATGAGGAAGACAGATATCTGTGTAGGGTGTAAATTATTTTGGAATGTTGAGTTGATTTTCCGATTATTTCATTCAAAATACATTCTCACATGACATCATTTCACAAGTTCACTGATCAATTATTACAACGTTAGGTTATGTTTCTACAAATTACTGAATAAAAAATAAAAAATGTATCTCAGTTTGTCTTGAAGCTACTGTTTTCATAGAAGAATATTATGCACTTTAATCAAAACATTTAACTTCATGAATCATCTCTGGGATATGTTGCAAAGACAGATAGATCAACAAATTGACCGAATGTCGCCTATTAAATGAGCTCAGGATCATTTTGATCTTCTGAAAGAAACGGAAATTATATCATTCTGAAAACTTACAGAAAACAATTTCTCACAATTTGGTTGGCTGTTTTATCGATTTTTATACCTCTATACAAAATCAACTTTCAAATTTGTCTCTTTGACTACCTATTCTTTTATTATTCATTGGTTTCAATTACTATTATCATTGTCTTCATATACATCACAAAAATTTCCTCTTATGAAAAGATATATTCTAACAGAATTTAGCATGTTGAAACCACAAACTGTTGCCTCTACCTTCCTTTTTGTTCTCAAGATTTTTATAACAATATTTTAATCTCCAAACATGTGATATTTGTCTTGTTCCTTTGAGACTAATGACATATACAATGCCAAAATATTTCAAACTATTTACAGGAAACTATATCGTAGAGATGAGAGACTATGTGTTTTCCTGCTGGGTTCAACACCATTTAACAAAATCCTACTGTCAAACGCGATATTCGATCGTACGAAGGAAACTTCAAACTGACAAGCGAGATATTGTACCCACAAAATTCTCACTTATAATATCACAAGGGCTTCAATTATCACCGGAAATTATTTAGAGAACACGAACATATTGAAGATTCTTCCGAGTCGAAGACGAGGGAGAATTTTGTAAATATTCGTGTTCGAGAATTCATTTCCGCTTTTTAATTGAAGCTGGACTGGTATTCGATAAGAAAATTTCACACAATGATTTGAAAAATTACTAATATAACATTACGCTAAATAAAATTCAAAAGACCGACTTTTTTAAACAAAATATCAATAAGGCAGCTGGTTGGTTGTAGTAGTTATTCTGGACCTACTTCATTCCACTAAAGTTGGTGGAAATATATTTTTTATACGGCTATAACACAAGAATGCTCTTGTTTCACTGTGTTAGATACTTCAATGAGGTACTTTGTATGCCATCAATTTTATTTCCGTATCTGATATCACAATGACTCCATTGTGCTATTATTAAAAAAAAAACTCATCGCCCATGGAATGTCAAATTTCAAGTAATGACAGCTTTGTCTACTAGATGAGCATTACTTGACAGGAAATCAGATGGCTACAAGACGAAGAAATCGAAAATGCCTCTATTATCTATTATAGCCGTAGAAGGTTAGGTTAAATAAGATATGATTAAATAACTTTAGTTGAATGAAATAATAAAAAATAGGGCGTTAGTAGCTCAATCTCTCGGTTTTTTACTAATTAGTTTAGTTATGAAGTTGGTAGAAATATATTTTCTTACATGGAACTTATCAACTTATGGAATGAATTCGACGTAATCTGAAGTTGAATGTTGATATCATTTTAACTATAAACGTCAACAATTTTCCAGTGTAATTTCATGTTCCTTTTTCCAAGGAGGAAATGTGTTTAGTTTCTGTGGTAACGATACAAAATACAGGCTTTTAATTGGTTAATGTTAGGTATGAAATTTTCAATACAGCTTCGCTCGTCCCGCAAAATCCCATGGTTACCTGAATATCCATCAAATCCATCTACGTTTTTCAACCAAATTACTTTACGCTTATTCAACTTGTAGCAGAATTTTTATCTCACTAGTTCAAATTTTCTTTATTACTAAACTCACAATCAAATGAACAACACACAAATACATCTACGTTTTTCAACCAAATTACTTTACGCTCATTCAACTTGTAGGAAAATATCTATCTGACTAGTTCAAGTTTTCTTCATTCATTCAAATAAGCAACACTCAAATACTTCGATGATGATAATAAACACTTCAAATTGACAAAAATAGTAGTGTAGATATATCATCTCAATCATTATATCGTCAGATCAAATTGATTTGCATGATGAATTTGATGAATGGTGTAATCTTTCGGTATATTTGAGTGATCTTATATTAGTTTTGCAAAGTGGTTTGTCGGACTCTATGAAACAAACAAAAACGTTCTCATGATTGTAATTGTTTCAGGTCCAACTATGAAGGTGAAAAGACGAATCGTCGAGCAAAAATATGCAGATTTAATAGAAAAACTGTATCATTGAATATGTATCAGGTTTGTTATATTTTAATATCAAAATGGTGAATAAATTATAAAAAAAAATATAATTTTTGATCTAATTGAAACAGTCATTCAGGCCCTAGCTAACTATAAGATATTTTCAATTCTACTACTTTAGTCAATACAACTTTTGAAACCATTATACTGATGTATTCATGTTCATCATACATTGTGGAGAAACCCAATCACTAATCTGTGATTAGAGTAAAAGCAAATATCCATCGTTAACTTTGATCCCCTTGATTGTATGTCTTTATATATCTTCCTATTTTTGTTCATGTTCATAATAATATATCTTAGAATATTACTTTTTAAGACTAGATACAAATAGAGTCCCTGTATGTATTTGACACTTTTGCTGTAATAAGAGTACGGACACTATGACAAGCAGTGACAGAAGGCATAACCCTAAAAAATTTGAAATGACATGAACAATTTGGCGGGCACTGACAGTTCATGAACGGACATGACATTAAATTATTTGAAAATTCAGGTTTTCAAAAATTGAAATCTCTAATTGTGTAGTGGAGAATTGCAAAAATGGAAGCGAGTCCTTTCATTTATTCCATTTCCCCCATTCTAACCAACAAGTACATATACCCTTTGTTAAGTATATCGAGAAATACTTTCAACAAATTGATTTACAAACTATGACCCCCTTTCGCCAATGAGATGAGACGCCACTTCTTCATGAAAATAAAGACAGAGAAAGATATATGGATGTACCCTTCACCGCGGCAGTAGAGGATAGAAGATCCGAAGTGCATGGAAAAGCATATCCATATCTTTGTTCAAAAGTCATTTTGAGAATTTGGGGTTATGCCTTCCGTCACTGCTTGTCATAGTGTCCGTACTCTTATTACAACAAAACTAACAAATATATACAGGGAATTATACATACAGGGACTCTAGATACAAATAACTCACCTAAATTTGAAAAATATAAACAATGAATACAAAATATCCCTGATGTTAGGCTGAGAAGCCCATACTTACGGCTACATAACTTGGTGACTTTATATCGAAGAAAGACTGGCTAAAATATAATTTTCGAACGTCGATCAAATGCTAATCTATTTATCAGGATAACAGGAGTAATGATAATAGTACTTCCACCTGCAGTCATGGATATCCTTTTGAATCTGCTGAATTGGCCACTAAAAAATCATACATTTCAGTCTCTTGCATTTTCTTGAATTAGCTAACCGTTTTAGAGAAAATCGCTAGTAAATGAAAGGGGTGTATTTTCAAATTATTATACTAAAAAAACTTAGTGAGCTATGATTATGTTTGTCTCTGGTAACTAATGATTAATTAATATCTTTTATGCCAAACTGACATTGTGGTATGTCATAACCGTCATGTCACAATCGATTCACTTTCCTCAACTTACCATTACACGCTCAGAAAACGGTTCAATTACTACAAATGTTTGTAGAAAAATAAATAATAATTAACTTTTTATACTGAAAATGATTTATTTAACGGTAAAAAAACACAAAATGAAATCTACTCTAACCATAATATTGTTAAATCAAGTGCTGGAAATGCCCTCCTCTTGCTACAATACAGGCCTCCATTCTCCTTCGCATAGACTGACGTACGCGTTCTAAAATTCTAGGAGCATTTCTTATGTGGTCAAAGCCATCTATGATTCGTTGACGAAGTACTTCAATCGAAGGCACTGGTCCTGCATCATAAACTAGGCTCTTTAAATAACCCCAGAAAAAGAAGTCCAGCGGGTTACAATCTGGTGAGCGGGGAGGACAAGGTACTGGACCTGATCTGCCGATCCATCGATTCGGAAACCGTAGGTTTAAATAATTGCGCACTGTTATTCGAAAATGCGGTGGAGCACCATCGTGCATAAACCATAGGCGCTGACGAATTAGTGAAGGAACGGAATCTAAAAGACCTTCTAAATTGTTTTCTTAGAAGTGTAAATATGTTTCGCCATTTAAAATTCTTGAAAAAAGAAATGGTCCAATTAGTTCATTTTCCACTATTCCGGCCCAAACATTTAGGCTAAACTGCACCTGATGACGATTTTGTCAGCGTTTTGTTTAATCTCGTGCGGATTTTCTACAGCCCAGACATGAGTATTGTGGAAATTTACAACTCCATCGCGGCTAAAGTTAGCCTCGTCAGTGAAAAGGACGAAGGATAAAAAATTTTGATTTCTTTCGCACTTTTCAAGTACCCACCTCGAGAACCGCAAGCGTCGCGGGAAATCCTGAGGAAGCAATCCTTGCACTCGTTGAATATGGTATGGGTATAAACTATTTTCGTGTAACACCCGCCAGGTAGTTACATGACAAATATCTAAATCCCGGGCAATTTGCCTAGTGCTCAATCCAGGATTTTCGTCAATGAGGTTTAAAATTTGCTCCTCTGTCGCTGGGTTACGGACTTCACGCGGTTGCCCCGCATCATTTCTGGGATTCTGGAATTTTCCGTACTCGCGAAGATTACGATGAGTGTTTGCAAAAGTTCGTGCGTTGGGTAGACGGCGATTGGGATATCTAATTGCGTATATACAACCTTCGAGCTTCAACTGAATTACCATTAGCCAGACCATAAACAAAATGGATATCAGCGAGATGTTCGTTTGAATAATTTGCCATTTCAACGTTTACTACAAGACACAAAACACAATTTATACTAAACCAAAAAACACAAAAAGATGAACTGTTTAACAAACGTCAAACTTACAAGTGAATCAGTGCTGTTTCACAAATTAAACGTCAAAAGCGTCAATAGGGGAAACAAAGTGAAAAGTCATAGCCCTCTAGATATTTTTGTTATTTACTTCAATACACCCCTTTCATTTACTAGCGATTTTCTCTAAAACGGTTAGCTAATTCAAGAAAATGCAAGAGACTGAAATGTATGATTTTTTTGTGGCCAATTCAACGATGATGTTTGAATTCAATTTTTTTTGAAAAAAATAGAAAATGTTTGCCATCAAATCTGTATGCAACCCTCATTCACCCCTTTCGATTCGAGTTACCTTATTTTAGATCGTCTAAAAATACAAGTGCCTGTGAATTTTCAAAATATTTGATGCATAATTGTAGCCACAATTCAAAATTTAAGATTTTTTTTGCGCATCTTGCGATGTCTGTAGCTTGGAGGGGGTGGATTTTAGGACACATGTTTATAGGAAAAAAAAGTCTTATTTTGACCCCAGGAATATGTCATTAAAATATTTGTATTGAATTATGTAACACCCTGTATAAGAAATCACAAAAAATTGGGGAGCACTCACGTCTCACTGCGTTCGAATAAAGTAGTTGTCAGTTCATATGCATCATCAATTTTGGACGAATTCGTAGGAATCACTTCCAAATTCACTTCGAATTAATTAAATATTATGAGAACAGAATGACATTATTTGACTATTCCAAGGTTGGTAGAATCATCCCCAGATAGCACAGAGACGTTTTGATGACCTTCTGAGGACGTCATAATAATGCACTCAGGATGTCGAGAGGCATCCGCAAGACGCCCTATAGGACGTCCACCTGTTACCATTTTCTACATGCAAATGACGTCTCAGAACATCCCAATAATATCCTCCAGAGACGTCCAGAAGACGTCTCAGGAGCTTTCTGAGGACGAACTGAATGATGTACTTAGGATGTCGAGAGGCATCCGCAAGACGTCTCTAGGACGTCCATCTGTTACCATTTTCTACATGCAAATGACGTCTCAGAACATCGCGATAATATAATACTCCTGAATGTGCTAATATTGTGCCATGAATATTGTGCTTGAATGTTGCCGTTTCAAGTTTTTTTTATCGGTATACTGATCCCGTGCTGACATATATTATGCAATGCACATTCCAATTCCATGATATACAGGGTGTTTCGAAATTCGACCGACAACGCTTGACAGGTGATAGCCCTCGTGATTTCATAATCACTGAGATAGGGACAGACGGTCTTGAAGTGTTCAGTTCTCGAGATACAGGGCGTTGAAGTTAAGAAATTTAAATAGTTTTTTCGCAATATCTCAAGAATAATTTAATATAATGCATTCAAATTCGGTATATGGTTTCATCTTTCACTGATTAATTTCTTGACCAGAAAGACATTCCGAGAATTTTATCCAGAGATGCGCTACAGAGGGTTGTGATAACTTTTCCTCCCATATTTTCTACGCCACTGATGAAATTTCAATTATTTCCAATTTCTCGAATTGTTTGTTCAGTTATGTTGAAAAAATGCATCACCTTCAACTGAGCTAAAATGAACAGTTATCGGGATATTTGACCCAAAATAGAAGTATGCATAGTAATTTTTCATCTTCCTCGGTAGTAAAAAATTACGAAAATTTTTGTTTTCTCTTCATGTGTGGAATAACTATTTCTGTTCAGCTATGGAATGAGATCTGAATAGTATCTAATCTACTCAACACCAGAAAAATATTTTTGCAATTTTCTACTACTGAAAATGATGAAATATTACTATGCAATCTTCTATTTTGGGTCGAATATCTCGAAAACTGTTTATTTCAGCTCAGTTGAAGGTGATGCATTTTCTGAACAGAATTGAACAATGAATTCGAGGAATTGGAAATAATCGAAATTCAATCAGTGGCGTAGAAAATATGGAAGGAAAAAATGCCACAACCTCCTGTAGGGCACCACTGGACAAAATGTCCGGAATGGCTTCCATGTCAAAAAATGGCCCATTCAAAGATGAAACCATATACCGAAGTTGAATGCATTATATTCAATTATTCTTGAGATATTGCGAAACAACTATTTTCATTTCTCAACTTCAACGCCCTGTATCTCGAGAACTGAACACTTGAAGACCGAATGTTCCTATCTCAATGATTATGAAATCACGAGGGCTATCACCTGTCAAACGTTGTCGGTCGAATTTCGAAACACCCTGTATATTATAATTTCATTAGATGAATAATTTGGTTTCCTAGGTTTGCATATAGGTTGAGGCTGTCCTCAAGTCTTCA